CTTAGGAGATCAATATAAATCAAATAATCATTCTAATATCACAAATCAATTATCATTATTTATTAATCATGAAATTTCAAAATTAAAACATCATTATGCATCATAATTATTAAGTTATTCTTTAATAATTTTAAATATCGAAATCTAATTTAATAAGAGGAGTTTAATTGGGATCTTACTTGAGTCAGGTTGATCTGTCAAACTAAATCGACTCAGCCAATGTGGTTATGTACGACCTAGCCTATGTGGCCAAGTACAGCCTAGCATATGTGACTATGCATGACCCAGCCTATATGGCCAAGTACAGCCTAGCATATGTGACTAGGTATGACCCAGCCCATGTGACCATGTAGGAGTCAGTCCATATGACAAGATACAACACAATCCATGTGGCCAGGCATAACCCAACCCATGTGATCAGGTGCGATCCAATCCATGTGGTCATGTATATCTTAGCCTATATGGCAAGGTACGACCCAACCCATGTGGCCAAGCATGACCCTACCCATATGGCTAGATATGATCTAGTCCATATGACCATGTATGACCCAGCCCATGTGGCAAGATACGACCCAACCATGTGGCTAAGCATGGGTCAGCTCATGCGGTTAAATATGACCCAGTCCATATGGTCAGATACGACCTCAACTCATGTGTCTATATATAATCAACTCACGAGCCAAGCATGGCCTAGTTTAGCGGTAAGGCTTAGCCCAACTTATAAGTGAGGCTCAACCTAGTCTATGAAGTTAAGCCTGCCCAACTATGCGATTGACATTAAACACATCGTTGCTCCTCTATCTAGCCCGTTATACCTCAACTCAATCTATTACTTAGAATAGGTATGTACAGCGCATGTGACCTGTCCAAGACTCGGGTGTTTAATGTCAATCTATTGGGAGAAATTCATCCCGTGGAATATGCCTCTCTATCCGCTATTGAGAGAGTGCACCATCGGGTGTGATGTACGTCTTTGTTATCTAGTTATTATGTATGTGTTGCATGTGGTTGATGAATGATTTTGCTTATTATGTAAGAAATTATCATCATTTTTCTGATGCATAAGTTTTATGATGAATCGATATATTATCATTTCTTATTAAATTATTAATATTTGTTTATATTTCACGAATATTGAAAATTATTTTTATGATTTTTTCGAGGTTCCTACTAGCATGTATGATTGCTGATATGTTTTTATCTTATATTTAATTTCAAAGTAATCTATTACTTTGTAATAGATCTGAAGCTTGGGTGAAAAATATTTGTGACCCTACCAAGAAGATGTGATTCTTTTTTTCTAGTTAATAGAATATTTACTATTGTAAAGACAATGATTTGAATTCAATGACGAAAAAAAAGAAAGAGAGTTTATTTTGTAAATTATGGATAATAAATTACTGATTTATTATTCTTTTTATAAATCTGTGATGTGACACCAATGACCTAAATCTATGTGTTGATCATTCAATAGTTCAAGTCTTTAATTGTTTTTGCAGGGAAAGATGTTGAAGTAGATATAAACCACAATAGCATGTCATAAGAACTTCTACAGTTCTAAATACAGCTGTAATCTGTATTTTAAATTTGTGAATGTAATCATAAGAGTAGGATAAGATCTAGATATAGTACTTTACTTACCTTCCTCCATAATAGTTAGGAGGAAATGTCTTGTTGTCATTGATGGTTTTCTTTAAATCTTCTGCAAACTTTGGAGAGAGCATATCGGAAAGAACTGCCGTAACATTGTAAAAGTCAGGATCCCCAAGGTTCATTCTCACCGCAAACATGTGCTTCAGTGATTCAATAAACCGATGAAGTCCAAGAGAGCCAGAAACACCTGATGGAATTCCATATTGAGCAAGAATATTTAATATCTGTGCCATCAAGAAAAGAAAAGAAAGGGGAAATTTCTGTTACATAAAAGAATTTAAGATCCATACTGGGTGTCTTATGAACAATAATGCAATTAAAAAGAGTTGGATTTAGATGCTTTATAATTCTTGTTACATTTTAATAATAACCTGTGAGTTCATATGTTCAAGAACTACTACTAAATAATATCAATCAATTTGCAGAAATCCTAGGCAGAATTACATGTTACAAACATTTTTGGAATCAGCGCATTTAACTGAAGTATACTTTTTTGTTTTTTTTTTTTTCTGTCATGTCATCAATATAGAGGCTTAGCCTGATTCCGTATCAATGAAAGGCCAATTTTTTATAAGGTATATTGAGCATTTTTTGTATTATATACAAGTACAGAAAAATCTATGGATGATAAATATTTTAACGTATCAGCAAATGTCCACTTGATCTTTGAAATCTGATACATGGTAACTGATAACTCAAGTATAAAAGAAAGGCAGGTCATATGGAAAAGTGGCTCGCATATTTCTCAATTCTAGAAGCACAAAATAGTTCACTTGTTGGTTGTTAGTTATGCCAACTAGTTTCAGAATTAATGACAAAGATGTAACCTAAACAGTCAGACTAGAGAAAACTTGGTACATTTTACCAAATTTTCGGTACTTTTATCAATCAGGAAGTGCAAAATTACAAGAAAGAAAATGTCTTCCTAATTAATGTCCATTTATAATTTCTACATAGTGATTGTCATTAAATGAATGGAAACAGGAAAGGGCAAAATGGTTAGTTTATAAGCAGGTAAGTGAAACAACAGAATGGTTGGTCAGCTAATTTCCTAACCTTTTTAATAATACATGTCAACTAATTGGTAAACAAGACTCTCAATTCTTTTCCAAATGGCACTTAAAACTGGAACCTCACTCATACTAGTAGCATCCATGGACTCGACATTGATATCTTTGTTAGACATGAGGAGATTAAATCAATAAAGACTTACAAGTATCAGTCCAGCACCACCAGATGAAGGGGGTGGCACGCCCAAGATGTTTAACCCCAGGATTTCAGAAGAGATTGGCTCCTTCACTTTTACTTGATATCTCTGTAAATCTTTAATCGTTAATATGCCTCCAGACTTCTTAATATCTCTAATTAGTTTAATTCCGATGGGACCATTATAAAGCACATCTGGCCCGTGGTCTGAAATAGCTTTCAGAGTATGTGCAAGTCTTTTGTTATGACACACATCTCCTTGCTGCAAAAGGCTTCTTCCATTTAATGTGAAAATATCACGCAGTCCTTTATCAGTAAAAATGCCTAATTTTGTTCTATTCATCTGCATATATAAGTAAGGAGATATTCTGAATCCTTTTTCAGCAATATTTGCTGCTGGCATTACCAGCCTCTTCCACGGAAGCTTTCCATATTGTTTCCAAGCCTCATAAAATCCTGCAATTTCTCCGGGAACAGCTACCGAAAGGGCACCACTTGCTTTTGCTGCAGCATTGCCAGCATACATGTTCTGCAGGCATCATCAAATACATTGAAAATTTTGAAGAACTTGCTCTAGGAACATGACAGACAAATAAATAGATTTTTTTGTGCCAAAAAAATTTACAATTAGATTCCTTTAATTTTCCATTTAAGTTGATGAACATGGAGGGTCTGTCAAAGTAATTGTGAAGGAGAGAAAAGAAGAGGAAAACAGGCAGTCTCAAATCAAATACCAATACTCGGCTAAGCATTCAAACATAAGCATCAAAGGAAAAGAAAAACTTATATGGCGATTTAAAAAGGCCAAAAAATCCAATATCAATTAGCAAGGCACTTTTTTGACGGAAAACTTACAAAGATAAATAGTTTTGACAGCATACACTTTACTAAGAAAGTGCATCTTTGAGATGGTTTGCTGGCTGGGTATCTTAAATAACCTTAAAGTTCAGAAATTAAATCCTATAAGTTGATGACAGTTGTTCTTTTGACTCTCATGTGAAGTTGCCCCAAGAATTAGTAGCTCGATCATCTACAAGTAACTCTATCGATTAAAAGGAATATACCCAAAAGCAAATAAGAAGCCGAGCAGATGGGTATGTCGTACCTCGGAGGCCGCCAAGGGAGCAGTCTCCCTCGAATCGAAGGCGTGCGCTCTCCCGCTGGCCGCCCTCACGAGCATGAAGGCGCCCCCGCCAACGCCGCTGGACGCGGGGCTGACGACGCCCAGGCAGAGGCCAGCGGCGACGGCGGCGTCCACTGCGTGGCCGCCCTCTCGGAGGACGTCCCTCCCGACCCTGGAGCAGCGTCGGTCATCGGTGGCCACGGCGCCGTGCCTCGCGGTAACGACCTCCGGCCTCTGCCCCGTCGCCCGCGGCGGCAACCGGAGGAAGAGGAGGAACAGCGCGACGGCGATGACCGGCCGCAGGATCCGCCCAACTGCGCCGCATCAAGGAACGGAATGTATCAGATTCGAAGAGAGAGAGGAGAGAGAGAGAGAGAGAGAGAGAGAGTTACGAGCCATGGAGTCGTCGACGTGAACTGGAAGAGAGCGGCGGCAGCCGTGAGATGCCAATATTGAATTGCCATTCGAGACTGTTTATTCCCCCCGCCACCTTGGTGGAGCCCAATGGACATCTTTTTCATTTATTATTGTAGAGGACATTGATCAATGTGTTACTACCACATTATATGTATCATATATTATAATAATAATAATTATAATTATAATAATAATAATAACATAAAGACCAACGTGATCACCTATGTCCGGATGTTAAGATTTATCATCCATCATAATAAATAAATATCACATAAAATACTTCAAATATGTGAAAGATTTAAAGGTATCCAAACTCAACTAGAATGCTTCTTAATCTCTTACCCCATTAAAGGATATTAAAAAAAAACCATCCATATCCAAATCTTCTTTACTGTTATATACTTGAATCAAAATTTTTAGGTTTAAGGTCCATTTTAATTCTTATGATTTTGATCGATTTACTCACATCTAAAATAAATTTTATATTTTAAAATATAACATTTAAGTTTCTTCTTTGTATATATATGTTATAATATGACATGTTGATTCATAATAAATTATTAATATAATAATATATATAATTTAAATTTAATAAAAAATTAAGATCTATTTTAACCCATGTGATTTTAGTCATAGACCACTTAAGTTCTTATAGTTTATTCGTGTATAAAATAACTCTTATATTTTCAAAACATAACATATAAGTTATTTCTGTCAAGCTTGAGTTAATAGATAGTAAAGTCTACTTATGTGATATATTGACTCATAATATATCATTAATATAATATTACATATAATTTAAGTTTAAAGAAAAAAACTGAGACCACCATCAATGGCATGAAAATGCATCATCATGAAAGTGATCAGCAGTAACAACACTGAGCCACTACTACATAGCAAGGCGTCGTATGCACACGATCTCTCTCGCATTAAAAACAAGCTCATGAGCTTTCGATCCAGCTTTAGATGGATGTGCATCGACCAGTTTGATACTATGCACACAATGGTTTCTCGATTCCTCTTCCTCCCCCTCGGCATCTTTATCCCCACCGTCTCCCACTTCATCCTCTCCCGTGCCTCCACCCACCATGCCTACAATATGACAGTCTAGCTCTCCCTCACCAATGCCTCCTCCAGCCTTTTGTCTCTCCGTCTTTGTTCGTCGTTACAACCTCTATCGTTTTCTCTTCCTCGACAAGATTAATCTTAACCCTTCTTAAAACTTAAATTATATATCATTATATTAATAATTTATTGTGAGTCTATATGCCACGTAAGTAGATTCAAAGTAGATTCTAACGTCTATTAACTCACGAGATAGTTTATATCCTATGTTTTTGAAAATATAAGCATTATTTTAAACACAATTAAACCATAAAAACTTAAGTTGACCATAATTAAAATCACAAGAGTTAAAATAAAATTTAATATTTTTTAAAATTTAAATTATATATATTATTATATTAATAATTTATTATGAATCAACATATCGTGTAAACAGAATTTAATGCTCACATTTTAAAAAATATTAAAAGCTAAAATAAAATTTAATTTTTTTTAATTTAAATTATACGTATCATTATATTAATAATTTATTATGAATCGACATATCGTGTAAACAGAATTTAATGTTTGTTAACTCACATTTCATAAGAAAGATTTATATGTTGTATTTTTAAAAACATTAAAATTATTTTAAAAACGAATCAACCATACAAACTTATTACTAAAACTGACTAAAATAAATCTTAACCCAAACTTCAATTTGCTTCCTCATCTAAAATCTCAATCCATTGTCATCGCTGAAGAAATTTCTATTAGATTGATCGAGACAGGTTTAAATCATGAGTGACAAAACTCCTGCACGCTTAGTCCTGGTTCAACTTTCTGAGCAACTTCAGGTACTTGTTGTTTCTCTTCATGCAAAGTAAGATTGATTGATTGAGGAAAAGCGTGAAGCATTGGGTTCTACTGCTTCAGCACCAGAATCCGAAGACCTCTGCGCATTGCAGTTGATGTCCATCAATGGTTTTAAATGCTCCATTGGATCATGCCGCACTAGCTGACAATTGCATGCCTTGAAGTAGATTAGTCCACCTCCAACATCCAGCCAAGACAAGACACTGCTGGCTCAAGGTTTCAGGGTCGATTTCCTTGACCAAAGCCAGTTGAATCTTCATCCTCAATGCCCGGATTAAGATCATGAACTGTCATCAGCAAATATGCTTTGGCCACCGAGATGCACAAACTGGATTGGTCACCAGCATCCACTTGTCCGAGATTTCTTGGAGGTGACAAGTGTTTCAACTTGTTTTTGTGATCTCCTATGCATTATTGCAGTAGTTGTCCATCGAGGGCTCTGAATGCTCCACTGGACTTTTGAATTTTGATTGACCAAAGCCAGTGGCATCTTCCATATACACATTGAGATCGTTTGATCATCAGCATCGACTTGTCTTGGATTTGTTCATTGCTTCTTTCCGTTTCTGAGAAGTGGAATTATACACAAGTTCACATTATCAGTAGGTTGAGATGGCTTTTGCACCTGCAAGTTGATCCAAAACAAGAGATGAGAAGAAAGGGATGCTCGTCACCTGCTTCATGAGGGTGGATGGATAGATTGTCTTCTTCTGTTAGTTCATATCACATGCTTCCTGCAGCTTCTCCTGCACATACATCATCATGCGCCATCATCTTCATCACTGAAAAAGAAGTGTAGAATTCAGAAAACGTCTCTCGCAAAAAGTCAAAGGATGCTGGTCCAATTGGAGCTTATTTTCAACTTTTAGATAAAAGTAGATTTGCAAAAAGTCACAGGTTGCTTGATGAATATAGCCACCAGGATAGAGATGAATCAGATGGACCACTGTCCAAATTGGCCATGTTCTCAACTTTGACTGCCACCACCACCACCACCACCACCACCACCACCAAGGATTGCTGAAATATCACAGCAACCAAGGATTGCTTGACAGGGATATCGAATATGAGCATGCCTATGGATTGAGCAATATGATTTCTTTTGACAATAAATTTACTCACTTTTAACCTAGAAGGTAAACTAGTAGCATTTCATTCATGGGAATAAATCTTTCTTCTGGGGTTCATCAGCATCCAAAAAAAATATAAACATTATGGAAATTCCAATCTCCACAAGTTTCACAGATGGATTTATCACATAATGCCACATAAAAAAGTTTTTTAAGTGTTGCAAGTATGTAAATATTGGGTTTTACCGATCAGTAGATTAGTCTGGAAGATTCATCCCTAAATAACCATCATTTTCTTGTCATAACTCGTTTTCTAGACTTCACTGATACAATAAATTCTCATTAAGATTCTCAACGAACATAAGCTACACAGATGTGAGAACCTGAAAGGACATTCGTCGAGGATAATCATACACCAAACTTTATACAAACTTCTGTAAACATAACAAAAGTATAGATTTCATGAATCTGTAACGTACCTCATATAAAAACACAAATATCAAGATCTGCTAATGCTTTGGTCTTCAGGACAATTTCACCAAAGTTCATTTAGAAGCCACCGTCAACAGCAGAGCCAGCACCCATCATGGAATGACATTCACCTTACCTGTAGAAAAATATTGGTAGAGACATGCAAAGAAGATGGAATTATGATCAGCCCCACAACTATAAAAGTATATTTTGTTGGGTTGGCAGCCCACAAATTCAGCTCATGGTGGGCTTCGACAGCCCACAGCTTACCCCCTCTTAACTTAACCCTAATTAACATTAGGGGGGTGTGGTGGCTATGTTTTGGAGGTAGAAAAAGGCATAAATAGGGCAGCAACGTGGGAGAAGGATATAGTCACGGGATTTCAAAGAAAAGGAGGAAAACAAGGCAGAAAAGAAAGAGAAAGAAAGGTAAGAAGACAAGGATAACGCAGAGAGGCTGTTCTCAATCATCTAGTAGTGTTCTCATCTCAGGTTAGATCAAATCTACAGTAAACTCTTGCTGTGATTACTTAGGGAGGTTTTAGATATCGTGGACAGTGACGTGATCTTTGTATCTCAGTTGTTCTCTTGTGATTGTTGCTAGGGCTTATAGCAAGAGATTGAGATTTGTATATTCATTATTCTCATAGTGGATTATCTCTAGTTTGCCCCGTGATTTTTATTCTTCACATTGAAGGGGTTTTTCACGTATATCTTGGTGTTCTATTTGATTGTGATTTCATTTAATTCCGCTGCATATCATGGTCTTCTAGTATTTGTTCATATACAAAGGTTATTCCTGTTTATATCCCTATCAACTGGTATCAGAGCAAAAGAGGTTTTGGTGATTTAAATTTTGTATTTGAACATGGAGGCCAGTAATGTTTCTCGCATGATTAGTTTAAATGGAAACAATTGGATGATATGGAAACCAAGAATGGAAGATCTCTTGAATTGCAAAGATTTATATGGACCTTTGCAGGGGGATAGTGCAAAACTCATAACTATGACAGATGATGAGTGGAAGATGTTAGATCGAAAAACAATTGGATTTATTCGATAGTGGCTTGATGATAGTGTCTTTCACCATGTTTCTACTGAAATTTCTGCATATTCTCTTTGGAAAAAGTTGGAAAGTCTCTACGAAAGAAAAACAACTAGCAACAAAGCTTTTTTGATTAGAAAACTTGTGAACATAAAATATAGAGAGGGTGCTTCTATTGCTGAACATTTGAATGAAATACAAAGTATTACTAACCAGTTATCTTCTATGAAAATGTCTCTTGATGATGAGTTGCAAGCATTGTTACTTCTCAGTTCATTACTAGAAAGTTGGGAGACACTGGTGGTTTCCCTTAGTAATTCTACGCCAGATGGTGTTGTCACTATGAGTCAAGTAATAAGCAGTTTGTTGAATGAGGAGTTGAGAAGAAAGAGTTCAGCAACATCTCAGAATGATTCACAAGCATTTATCTCAGAGAATAGAGGAAGGTCAAAGTCTAGAAGCAATTCATGCATGGGTAGAAGCAAGTCAAGATCAAGAAAAGATATTGTTTGCTACAATTGTGGTGAGAAAGGACATTACAAGAACCAATGTAAGCAACATAAGAAGAGCAAAAAAAAGGGAAAAGAAGTGGAGTCTATAGAGTCAAAAGATAATATCACAACTATAATGCAGGGTGGTGATTATTTGATTTTATCTCCTTCTGATGATATTTTTTCTTGTGTGTGTCAGGATCTTGAGTGGGTGATTGACACAGGTGCTTCTTATCATGCTACACCACGGAGGGAGTTTTTTGCTACATATAGGTCTGAAAATTTTGGTGTTGTCAAGATGGGCAACTATGACACAGTAGACATCATAGGCATGGGTGATATCCATTTAAAGACCAACCTTGGCTGCAAGTTGTGGCTTAAGGATGTGAGGCATGCGGTTGACTTGAGGCTGAATCTAATTTCAGTTGGAAGACTAGATGATGAAGACTATGAAAGCAGATTTCACAAAGGGCAACGGAAGCTCAGTAAGGGTTCTCTTGTTATAGCTAATGGAAAGAAATGTCATACTTTGTACAGGTTGCAGGTTAAAGCTTATGGTGAGCAGTTAAATGCTACAGAAAAAGACTTCAGCATGGAGTTGTGGCATAGACGATTGGGACACATGAGCGAGAAGGGGCTGCAAGCTCTTTCCAAGAGAGATATTACCAGACCTCAAAGGTATACATCTGAACCCTTGTATTGATTGTTTGGCAGGTAAACAACATAGAGTTTTATTTGCTAGTCCTGTTTTATCTAGAAAAATGCATGTCTTAGACTGTATTTATACAAATGTATGTGGTCCTTTGAGGACAAAAACTCATGATGGATCTGTTGATGTTCTTGGTATAAGTGGTGCACTTTATTTTGTCACTTTTATAGATGATTTTTCCAGAAAAGTTTGGCCTATGCTTTGAAGACTAAAGATCAGGTAATTAATGTCTTCAAAGAGTTTCATGCTAGGATTAAAAGGGAGACAAAAAGGAAATTGAAATGCATAAGATCAGATAATGGTGGTGAGTATACAGGATCGTTTAATGACTATTGCAGGTCACATGAGATCTAACATGAGATGACAGTTCTTGGTACACCTCAGCATAATGCAATTGCAGAGAGGATGAACCGCACCATCATGGAAAAGATCAGATATATGCTTTCACAGGCCAAGCTACCCAAAAGGTTTTAGGATGAGGCTTTGAGGACTACAGTTGATGTGATCAACTTATCACCATGTTGTCACGAACGGTCGTCAAGCACTCGCAACAACTCCGTTCAACGAACCGTTCATCGCTCACACCTACATGTACAACTGCTTGACAACATGTTTTCTCTTGGTTTTGGGTCATTTTGCTTGTAAAAATGTAAGTTCGAACAAGCTGCAGCGTTACAAAGCGATCGCTTACCGAACCGAGCAAAACAACTCCAAAACATCCCAAAACAGCTCCGTTTTTGCGTGCCGCGGGCTGATTTCTGGAATCTGCCTCCGCTCACCAAAACGTCAGCCATCTCAGCCCCTTTGAACCCCCTGGGTGGCACAGGGCTGGATGGGGCTTCGGATATATATTGGGCGTTCAACACTCTTTCGCAAGTTCGCACGTTGCCTTGACAGGAACTTGTTATCGCGCCCGGGACCAGGTGAGCGGCTGTTTGTGGGCTTGCAGCTATCGTTCAACCTTCTAAAGCCCTTGTTTTCCCCCTCTCCCTCTTTTCTCTTGTGCACGCAAGGTGCTCGCTGAATTACTTGTAAAGCTTCCCCTTTTCGCGAGACGTCGGGACTTGTCCGTCGCTCGTTCTTTCGAACTAATCAACTTTCTCTTTTTATAAGTCCTTCGGACCTGCGAGAGGTTACAAGTGGGCTGATCCTTATGGAGCAATATCGCAAGGGCGGAGCACGACTTAGGCAACGCAAGCTAAGTTCGCGTCTTTGCCACAAGGGTGACTCGCGACTTAGGCAACGCAAGCTAAGTTCGCGTCTTTGGCCGCAAGGGTGTCTCATGCCTTAGGCAATTCCAGCTAAGGCCAGGACATTGTGATATCAGAGCGGGCAAGCACTTCGAGCGAGCAGCGAACGAACTTCGTAACTTCTCCATGGCAAAGCATCGTGGCGAATCAAGCAAGATGGGGCAAGCCGGACCCTTGCCCCAAGCAGCCGCAGGTGGGCTGCATGTGCACACTCGCTCTCATGCTATTGTAGCCACTCAAGAGGAGCGCGACAGCGAACATGATGAGCGAGAAGTTGGTTACTCTCCGCGAGCGGAGGAAGCGCAATCTGGAGCGCTAACTGGGAAAAAGAGTCACAAGGAGAGACTCACAACGACGGAAACCCGCCTGGATGTTCTTGAAGCGAGCATGGAGGAACTCTACCATGGCCAACAAAGGCTTGTTGGGGTAGAGAGCTCGCAAGAGGAAGCGAAGTCTAGGATTGACAAGGTCGAGGCCCTAGTTGACCGACTGTCTGATGACACCAAAGACTCCGTGCAACACTTATAGGATGTTGTGGCGGAACTCACTTCAAAGGTGGTCATGCTCACAGGAACACTAAATGCGGGAGGAAGCAACACCCGTGTTGCACTGCCACAAAATTTGAGGGCACCCGAGCCTCATGGATATGGAGGGGCCAGAGATGCCAAAGAGCTCGAGAACTTTCTGTTCGACATGGAACAATACTTTCGAGCTACGAGGCCCAATTCTAAAGATACCAAAGTTTCTATAGCAACAATGTATCTAAACAGAGATGCGAAACTTTGGTGGCGAACCCGTTGGGAGGAGATCCAACAAGGTTGGTGTCGAGTCGACACATGGGAGGACTTGAAGCGGGAGTTGAGAACTCAGTTCCTACCGAAGAACACAGAGTTCGTCGTAAGAAGGAAGTTGAGACAACTCCGCTAGAGTACCACCATCCGAGACTATATGAAACAATTTTCTGCACT